AAAGAAGATATTGACTTGGGACAAGTGCGCGGATACTCTCACATGCTTCCATACGGCATCATCCCCTGCATAGAACTCATGATGTTCGCTGAAGGGTTGGCCATCCCAGGATTTGACATGCCCATGTTGCTCATTGCTGCAGATGCGGCTGCCATGGCAGATGATGCTGGGCGCGCTATACTTTGTGTGATCTGAAGCCAGTTGGTCTCATCGAGCAAACGCCGCTTCTGCCGCCGATTGTCCCGAAAAATTAAAAACAGAAACAGGCCGAATAAAGCCAAAAGGGCTTTGCATCTTCGTCTGATTCTGTCCATCTCCACATCCCTTGCCTCTTTGGATACATATCTCTTGTTGGGATCAGATTCCTCTGTCAACTGTTCTTTCTCTTTTGCAGACGAGCTCTTCAGGGCCCACACCCATTCAACCACATCTCGAAGCCTGTAGAATGTCATCGTGACGTGCTCCTGGAGCTGCTCCAACATGATGCTGTTCATCTCCAGCATTTGAGTCATGCGGAACATGCTTTCGGCATAGCTGCTTCCCATGCCAGCGCCCATTCCCATGCCTCCATACATGCCGCCGCCATACATGCCTCCACCATAGCCCCCGTACATACCCCCGCCATATCCGCCATACATGCCACGGCCATATCCTCCGTACATGGGTCAGGGCTTGGGCACGGCAGGGTATCCAGTCAATGCATTGGACGTCTGTTGAGATAGCTCAGACTTCGAGCATGTAATGCATAAGGCAAATAGCGATTGGCCTTCTGCCGGGACAAACAAATATCTCTTGTGATTCTGCAATGCAACATAATATGGTGTCTAGGTACATGGCATTGCATTCGTTGCGGTCGAGTCGACATGCCGAATGATTAGCGGTTCATCTTTCATCATCCCAAGTGAGCCCACGCGATTTATCCTGATTTATCTGCTCTGCTCGCTCTGCATGTTGCAATGCTTGCAGGCACGACATCAATATGACCAGCATCCCTTTTGAAGCGCTGCAGGCTGGTACCTGCCATGAGCCACTAAGCATGCACTTACAAGATCCGCAGCTGCGGCCACGGATCAGACATTATCCGAAGCCCGAAACACAATCGGTCAAATGTACAATTTGTAAGAGATGCGGAGTACCGCTGCCAGCTCACAAACACGCTGATCATGAGACCTGCCCACAGCCAGTCAGTGATCTTTGGTGGACATCGTCTTATCTACAGCCCGTCCTTGGACCGCTTGTCGCCCAGTCTGCTATCCTCAGCATGTGCAGCACAAACTTGCACATCAGGGTGCCGTGCAAATGCTTGATGGCCCCCACCTGAGAGTTCTGGCGCCTGGCCGTCACACATGTAGTCTCTCAGGGACCGCTGAGGCAACATGTTTTGCCGGCCACGAGTCAGCACTGTACATATGAGGCAAAGAGCGGTGACACAAGGCCCGGAGCAAATGCCCGAAGAATACCCGGGATATTTATGCTGTACGTTGGTTGGGCAATGACGCCCTTCTCTGATTCCACATCCCATGATGTGGCGCTTCCCGATTTGAGGGCATTAGCGAATCACTGGTCAGCGTGCACCCGAAACTGCCTGGCAGGGTGCAAGCCTGCCAATGCAAGTTGCATTTGTAGCGCCTGTGAAGCCAGCGAATAGCCATCCATGAGCGTCTCGTAAAGGGAAGCCATGGTTGGACCTCAGCTTGAGCAGGTGTGCACAACATAAGCTGTACTCAACATGATCCATAGATTCTTGCGAGCTGATGGTTTGCAAGCCCTGCATCAATTTCCAGGGTGACACGGCTACCGCGGACCACTGTTTCTAATATGCCTACGCCCCCTGCAGGTATCGTGAGGTATCTGTCTCTGCAGAGAAAAGTGTATTAGCAACGATGGCACGACAGCTGGCAAACATCAAACCATGCAATGGAATTCTGCAACCCTGCAAGTCACTGTAAGTCTCTGACCTGTCAACTTTGAGAGTCGAGAGCCAGCCGAAATGAGGTTCCTTCCCCGCTTGTCCGTTCCGGCCTGAGCTGTGCTGATTCGCGGGCACGTTGCTGTGACAGTGTCCAACCCAGGTCACGAAGACCCTCAGATCGCACGCCGCAGGTGTGCCTGACTGAGATGGGCAAGTCAACAGCCTCCAAGACCGAGACAAAAGGCAAGGCCTACACAAACATCGCGGCCAACGCCACAGGTACCTCCAAATCTCCATGCCGAATGAGCCATAAAGCTCACAACGGACTCGACATGGCCTTGCTGGAAAAACTCGGATCCCTCTGTGAAGTTCTCAAGACCTTGACAACTTGAAGCAGGAATGGCCAAACCATGCACAAGTCTTCGAAATAAGAGCAGTGCTTTGGCTACTTTGCATGCATTTGCTCGGCGCACAGCCTGCAGCCATTCAGCACTCAAAATGGAGAGGCCAAAAGTCCGCATGTCCGTAAGACGCCGGCCACTGCACGTGTTGTCCCATGCAAAAGAACTCACCTGGCAGTGAAACGTGCTCCAAGCCCTAAGCTCGTGTCTGCTCCAAAATGACTCGGCACGCGCCTCGCCATCTCGCAGGTTCACAACAAGGTTGGTCAGCCTTGCAACCCGTTAGAGTTTCTTGTGGCCTAACAGCTCCTTCATGCGCACTTGCTCAAATCAGATTCTATGAGCTCCTAAGGTAGAGGTACCTCCTTTGAGCATGTATGCATTCTGGCTCCGAGGTGAAAGCTGCGCCACCATCGCGGAACGTGCGCAAATCTGGGGACAACTGAGATAGCTTCCTGGCAGTAAAACTTTCATCCTGGAACGCGGCACATAGAAACCGCACCTCGTGCATCCATTTCCGTGGAGTTGCTGCAATCCAATGGGTGCGATGGACCAGCATGTGATCTTGACACCCACCTTGGCACGGGGGGAGACAACACTCAAACGATGCATCGTGACAATCCCGCATTGCAAACACCTATGAGCAGGTCTTTTCTCGTGTGGTTGATGGCTGCGGGGCCCATTCCATAATATCGGTCCCTGCTGCCCCGCCAGTGCAGCAACAGCTAGCTGCTCAACTCGACGGTCACAGTCGCTGTGAGTCAAATCTTACTAACAACGTCAGTGTTGCCAGCAGTTTGGGCCTCAAGGCGAAATAGAGTTTCAAGCCAGCGGCTTGGCAGCGCGACTGGACTCATGCACAGTTTGCAAGAAGCAACGGAGCTGGAAAGTTGCGACTCAGTTCCAATAGCGCAAAACCAAACTCCGACGTCAGCGGCTTGAACACTGGAACACTAAGAGCCCGCGAAAGAGGCTGAGGTAACCCCAAAGAAAACTTCCAAGAAGCATAGGAGACACGATGAATGGATTGTCCTACAGCAAACATGAAATGCTTTCACATGTCACTGAAAAAGACAGCAGAAATTGTACCAATCTGTCGTGGAAAAAAAGTTGCTCTCGCAACTCCGTCGCGAGTCCTGGCTCTTGATTCAAACTGCTCGATCTGGGAAATACCATCTTCGCGAAAACCATGTTGCTTGTGCAACCTCCATCAAGGGCTTTCGTGTGGCTACGTTTACGAAACTTTCGCCAAACAAACTTTCGAGGGGTCCATCGCGAACCTGGGGCAACACATCAGACTAAATGGCCTTCCCCTTCATCTCTCAATCAAAGATCTTCCAAACGACTCCCAAGTCTCAACAATGGCGGCGTGTGCTGCTATTACCCACACTTCTGGTAGCGCCTCTTCCCTGCCCCTTCAGAGATTAGGAAAGCAGTGCGTTGGTTGGCAAGATGACCAAGACATGCTAAGACGCTGCCATCTTCGAATCAAGGTGACCGTTGTTCCTTCCTTTGCTCGTTCTGAATCTAAAGGAACAGGGACATTACAACCTACTGAACAAGCTCGGAGTTGCGCGTGACAGTCTGTCCTCAGTATCTGGCGTATATAGTGGTTGAGAATCATTTGGACCGATGGCAAGAAGCGCCGAGCCCTGGCAACAGATTTGCACAATTGCAGGCACTTTGCTCTGCAACGTACGCTTTCACTGGCCTTCAGCACCAGTTCTGCTGACTCTTCTACCTGAACAAAATGGTATTTGCTTACTGTCTCTCATTGCTAAGCTGCTTCAGCAGCGCAGCGCCTTGATCTGAAACACCATCTTTTTGACAGGCTGGGTTGACATAAACACGCCTCGGCCAAAAGCTCATGGTGCTTCCATCAGAAGGGACTTGGCAATCCTGACTGTTTGCACTGTGCCCTCGGCATACGAAGACAGGATCGCCAACTGCCTGAGTGGTGCAAAGGGAAATATCTGCTCTGCACTTCTATCAGTGCACAAAGTCACTTTTATGCCAAGTGAAGGGCAAGAGGTGCCAATTCACCCGCGTCGCAGTTCAACATCTTGGCATGCACTTCGTGAAGAAATGCTGAAGATGCAGGAAAAAAAAGCTGACACCATGATGATGGAACAAGCATTTGCCAGGCCGCCGACCGCGGCTTGACATGGGCCAAGCAGGAATACCAGCCTCCTTGAGCTGCAATCCCCACACCGCACAAGTCCACAAAGGAACAGCATCCGGCCTCCAACCAATCATGGCCTGTGAAGCCATTGCATGGCCTATAAAGCCAAGCTACTTTTCAGACCTGCATTTGAGGCCATTTTGAGGGTGGCTGCCCGTATGTGTTGGCAGGAGATTCAGTGCCCTGAAGATGAAATTAATAGACCCGAAGCTCTTTTATAATGGCTTGTTTGGAAGCTACGGTGTGTACCAGCTTCACATTGAAGACCGAGCAGGCTGTTTGCCTTGTACCAATTTTGCAGCTGCCAGTATGTGTTAATGACCCTGCCACAAGGGTAACTAAGTATGCAAAGTCGCTCACTGCCGGACGGAGTGAGTTGCTTCATGATCAATTCTGAACACACCCATGTTGTCACAGCATCGGCAAGATATGTTCAGTCATCATTGACGCTCAAGTGGCACAACATGTCAGCATGGCATTTCGAAGTCACGATACATCTGAAGGCACCAGTACCTCCAAATGAAGCAATGCCTTCAACACTTGAGACATGTGGGGCACCCGCAAGCAACACAACACATCCTTAGTGGCTTGGCAGCACAGAGACAAAATGCGTCGAATGCATGCGCGCACACACACACACACAAGACACACACACACACAAAACACACACACACACAAGACACACACAAAGAGTACTGACAGTTTGCACGAAGTTAACCTCAATGTACTCTTGGTGCGGTGAGTGATGGATGCTGCAATGCTGCAACTGACATCCAACTTGTCAGCAGTTGCATGTCTGCTGGTGTCAGCTTCCTGAATACCAAGTGTGAGGTTGCATTCTTACAGTCAGGATTGGTGCTTAGACCAGTCCGCTACTCTCGCGGCCATCTGCCAGCCAGCCAGCAGTGAGAGGCAGCATGCTCAAATCATGACATTGCATCCTTGCAATTTTGCCATGGCATCATGAGAACTTGCGTGCCATAGCTTTAGCTGGCGTTGGTAGCTGGCCTTTCCTGGCCCCTTCCTGTACCCTGAAGTCCCGCACTAAAGTTTCACAGTCGCAATTGCTTGTCTCATGTGCAGTACAGGAAAGCTGAAAGCAGTTGAACCTGACCAAATTCGCCAGTCACGCGGGCAATCTTCCGAACTCGCAAGCGGAGGTTGTGTGCATTCATTGTAAATCGAACAAGCAGCAGAAAGCGACGCTTCAAGAGTGAGCCTACATGCGAGCAGTTTGCAGAGCATCAGCAATGTGTGTGTGCGTGGGGTAACACAGCATGAAAGAGAGACATACACATACATAATTAATCATCAGGTTCTCATGGATGTCTGTCCAAAGAGAAAAGGCTTCAGTAGGCAATTGCTCTGCAACGGTGGCTACTGGAAATGTTGCACAAGCTGCCCGCGAAGCTTCCGCGAGATAAACCTTTCCGCAGAAGCTTCCGCAGCCCTTCCGCGACCGCAAGCCCGCGCGCAGTTTTCAAGAATATGTCCTACCAACTTATGTGGCGCGATGACCTGGCTTTAAAAAGACGTCGTCTGCCTGTATCCAAGATATGAATGAAACTCATCCCAGTGCCTTCTTCAGGCGAGCTGTGTCAGAGTGCATATGGGCAGACGCGGGAGAGCATTTGTGTGAGGATGGCAAGCCTCAGCAAGGTGGGTAGGGAAGGTGAACGGGAAGGCAAAGGGTTGGCGAAGGGAGAAGGGAACGCAAGGAACGCATGTTGCACTGAGGCTCACTATGCGGTTTGAGTAACCTTCTTGCTGCGTGAGCTTCTATGCAGGCACAATCAGCGCCCAGCACATAAAGAAAGGTTCGGTACAGTAGTTGCTTGGTTTGCAAGCAAGCATCGCTATGTGCAGAAGAGCAAACATCGCAGCGAACACCATTAACTCTGAAACTTCATGAGCATCATCCTCTGTCTCCACCTGCAGAGGGATCATCCATGTGGGCAACAGAAAGATAGCGCTTCCTGTGTTCCACAACGCGAGGCATCATGCCTGATCCGGGTGATGAACGTAAAAGGCTCGCCGCCAACTATCCGTATGCCTCAGCTACAAACAATAAACACTTCATCTGACCGAGTGGCGATACACCTCTAAGGTGAGTGCCGCAAAGCAGGATGCGGAAGGCTGTGGTTTGTGTGCAATGTTAACCTGCGGGCTCAAGGCGCAAATTCTCTATTGGTCCGGCAATTTCACATTGTCACTTCTGGGCAACTTGCTTCCCCATCCGACTCACCGGATTCGAGGTGGACGGAGTCCTGCGACACTTACACGGAAGCGTGCCTGGCTCTACTTCTGCATTTCCTCCTGTCCTTTCCAAGCACAACGCTCGGGTCCTTGGCTCTGCATAGTCATTGGCACCAGGACCTTGCAAATTCAGGCTGCAAGTATCTCTTCAATTTCAGCGAGCACCTGGGTCCTTGGATAGTGACGCCATTCGCCCCGACACCTTCAAGGTAGTTGAACTCGGACCATGTCGAACCATGAAATATCATGCCTGCACTCGTGATGGAAGCGAAGACTGCCTTGGCTATGCATGAACAATCCACTTTCAACATGTTCTGGATTCGACCTTCCAAGATTTCTCAATAGGACCCACTGGATCTTACAAGCCCTGGAGAACAACGCACCTCTCGAGAGAAAGGACCGTGACTGGCGCGCGAACCCATCAACTGACGCCACAAACAATTGCAGAAACGCTGCAGAGGTGTGATCCTGAAGAGAGATGACATGAGCTGTCCAATGCGCTTGCATTATGTGACCTCCACAAAGGCAGTAGTACGATACACAGTACTACACATGTTCTGCAGCTTTTCCATTGGCTTATGTTGATTTCTGATGGCTGTCGTTGTCTTTTCATGACGCTTGCGGGGTCTTCCTTCGGGCTTGTTCTGAAACCCCCACAACGTGATCCCCAAACATGATGAAACACAAATCGCCGTGTACTCACTAACAATTCTATGCTGGGCAAGGCGCGTCACCTGGGAGGGATCTGCACTTTCCTGGTCAGAGATTGCCCCGAATCTGGCCTTCACTCGTTCAGCCTTTTGTTCTAAGCCGCCGGCAAATACCTCCAGGCAGGCTGCCAAAGATCCCAGGCCTGAAACGTCCAAGAATATCAAGTAAGGGCGAACATGCTAGGTGCAGAACCCAAGCCAAGTCCAACTCCCACTCCTAACCTGAGCCGCATGCCAGTTCCTCGCCTTTCGTGCCAAGTTTTTTGCTTTGTATTTACAGCTGAGGTTTCGCACCGTGCGCCCATCCTGCATGCCACGGCTGCAATCCTCTCACAGTTAGCGCTGCAATGCTGCCTTGCTCAAGTGGCCAATGCCATGCTTTGGTAGCGCTAAATGATGGTCCAGGAATGCTCTTGAGACCCCATATCTTGAGCTTGGCAGCTGTGCAGTCTTTCATCATTGACCCCATCGTCTGTTCTGATGTATTGTGGAGACTGGGCGCTGCCGGTAGTTTATGTGTCTGTGTCTATGCTTGTGTGGTCTGTCTGTGCATGCAGGCTGCCCTGTAGAGTGTGTGTGGGTCGGTGAGTGGGATTTCCTGCGGGTCTGCGCACGCGCATGTCTCTGCGCTCTTTGACATTGCTGGGCTGGCGCTATTGTGGCTTTGGACAAGGCTCAGCCAAACAGCCTGTGCCTCAGAATGACCTGAATCACCTGAATGTTTCAGCACTCGAAGATGCGTTGGAGTCTGCGGACTTCAGGATTTAGACATCGGAATCCTTTTTCGCCGCGCGACTCGACGCCAGGCCGCTCAGCTGAGCTTCAGGGCGCAGCCTGGGACTTCAGCCACTTGACCTTCTCTTCTCTCGATCCGAGAGCGCTGCCCACTTCGGAGTTGTCATTGGCGCTTTGGGAGGTGGCCTTGCGATGACTGCAGACATTTCGACATGGATTCTATCTGTTCTCAGCTCGCAGCGGCAGGTCCGCGAACTGCCATGGAGGCACCTCATTTCGGCAAGAGCTCAGCACTCCGCGCATGGTAAATGTGAATCATGTGGATCATGTGAATCATTTGTTAATCTGCAATGTTCTCACTTTCTCTGCGCGCTCTCTGTGCGCTACTTCCAAAGGCCGTGGCCTTGGCCTGAGCTTTCACAGACCTGGGCCTCAGCTCTCAGTGCGAATCCCTAGACGGAGCAGACCTATGCAAACCATGCAATGGAGGTGCTGACCACCATTTCCAAAAACAAGATACAAGCACCTACCGTTTGTACATTGTGTGGCTTTGCCAGGCTAAGTTGAACAATGGGGGCGAAGATCATGTGCGATCAAAGCAAATCGACCCAAGTGGATCTTGTCTTCCCGCAACCAAAGCTTTAAGCGACAGCCCATGCAAACACTTTCGCGGAGGATTTGGAAGTGAGACCTGCCTAAGCGCCAGCACCGGCAGCATGGCAAACAGGACCCCCAAATACCCCCAGCAGTACCAACCAGCATCACTAGCATCATAAAATCGCCCAGGGCAGGTACAAGCGCAGACAGCTAGAAAGCCGAATAGACTCAGAACTTGCAAAACAAAATTGGGTGCAGCTTCTTCCCCCCCCCTCAGCGTCTATCCATCTATCATCTAAAGGTGGTTTTCCATCATTCATTGACGCTTCTCAAACTGATTGTGCATTTTGAGATGCTTGGAGGTTGGCTCAGTCATTTGACTTGAACGTTGAGGTGGCTGACTCCCCGCCCCTCACGTGCAGCAGAAAAAAGGCCGCCCAAATTGCTGGAAAATCAGGTGCGCATTGTTTTTTAGAGATTCAGGGCTCATGCGCTGCTGGGGAGGCTACGCCGGGGGCTTCGCGGGGCCAGAACTCTTGGAAGGGTTGGCTTTGCGAGGCTTCGCCGCAGGACAGTGGCTTTGCGCAGTGGCTTCGTCGGGCTTCGCGGACGTTTGTTCCACAAACATACCTTATGTTTGTACATTCAGTTAGTCAAGTTGAGTCTACACGAAAGGGGGCGATGAAAGGCTTTGAGACCCAGAGCCAGAGCACGGAAGTTGGACCGCGGTGGCTTCGCGGAGTCTCGCAGGCTTCGCAGAGGCTTCGCGAAACGGCCCATCGTTTCTAGACGAACCGGATCTGAAACGCACAGTGCTCTTCCAGTCATCTTCCTGTCGTCTTCCCATAATCTTGCAGTAGTCTGACTGTAATCTTCCCTGTAGCTTTCTCATTCATCTACCTTTGGCATGCTACCACCATGAAAACACATACTAAAGCCACGAAGTGGCCTGTGTCAATGTTAGTGGGCTGCGCGAACTGGCTTCGCGGGGCTTCGCAGCACACAATGTATCACACAGATGCCTTCGCGGACCTTTTGGGAGTTCTCATCATCTGAGAAAGAACGCTACTCAGGCGAGAGGTGAAGGCAAACCTTAGCCTTAAATGAGGGTGCCAAGATTAGCAGGCATGAGCAGGCACATGTACGAGATGAAGTAGTGATCAACGCCTCGCCAAATTGGACAAGTTGCAAAGGGCCTGTGCCAAGCTTGAGCAATATGTCGACAACAACTGTTTATCCAAACGAAAACTTGTGCCAACCACATGACTTTATGTGTCGCGTACGGAGGGGGATAATGTGCGATGACTATTTTGTGTTCGGGGGCTCTGAGGAGCCAGCTCTGGTGGGGGCGGAGGCGGACCTTTGAAGACTGGGGGTGGCCTGAGCGGCAAACACCACAAACTTTCAGATAGATACTTTCCTCCTCCGGTGGAACGCTCGCTGATTTGGAATGCCCGTGCCTCGCGCTGGTCAAAGCGGCACCACAAGCATGTAGGCCTCGACGGGAACATGTGTCATCCTGACTTCCATGTCTGGCGGCTCACGCGCCTTCTGGAAGCCCTGGAAACGCCAAGAATCCGGGCCTCGCTTTGGCGCTTTGGCGCGTTGGCGCATTGGCGCTTTGGCGCCGTGCTAAAAATATGCAGAGCCTTTGCCCATAAAACCCGCGTGAGCAACATCTGTGCTCCATGCGGAAATCCTGGAGGAAAGCCTGGCCTTACGAGCGTTTGCTTGACACATTTCACAAATCAAGGGATTGTGTCTGGGGGCACAGGCGGAAAGCCAGCAGGAAAACCGAAGGGTGTCTCCTGAGGTTGTGATACACCTACTTGGACTGACAGATTCATTTGCCTACAGCCAACCAATTGAGGTCGCAGCAGGTTGCGACACAGCCCCAGGCAAGCTGCCAAAACCAATCGTAGGAAAACCTGTGCTGCGAGCGAAAACTGGACAGGTCCAACAACTGCCCACAAAGCTTGGCGACTGGGGTTTGGAGCTTTTCTCAAAATTGCCAACTGTCACACGCTCACCACGCAATGCCAACCTTTGGCAATGACTAAGTGTGATAATATCACATACATGGCTTCTACGAGTTGCATCAAATGCGTTGCTGCATGCGCCTGGCAGCCACTGTGTTGCCTGGGCAGCGCGAACGGCACGTTCGGCAAATTCATGGGGGATCTGAGAAATTGTTGTGGATAACCCTGGGGCCTCCCTTCCAAACACCATGCAGGGAAACAAAATATCGAGGCGGCATTGACCACTTAGCGACTTAGCACCCGGCCGGAGCCGCCGCTTTGGGTGGAATGGGCACGTCCAGTTGCGCGACGGCAGCAGAACTGGCCATCCTGAAGCGCTGAAGGCTTGGCACACCTGCCACAAGTTCAGCTCGACGGCCGCTCCTCCTCAGCTTCTCGAGCACGCTGAGCATGTGAGGGAAGGAAACCGCCTGCGCGGCGCTTGCATCAATACGCTAGTCAACATATCTCATTTGCACCAGCATTGGTTGAATAACAACAAAGGTAGCTGGCTGTCAAAATGTAGGCGCTTGACAACACCGAATCCCAAATAAGCACAAGACACACAGAAACATGCCGAGAGCGCATCTTTCGCTGCAGTAGCAACATGCCCTGCTGCGCACTTCTTGGTCACACACCGAACAGCACCCCATCACAGAACCCTGGAACTGCACCAAACAAAGCTCCTAGTCGCACTCTCTACCAGCGCCCTGCGTGAATTAGGGATCACACTATCGAGCACCCTGCAACACCCTGCTCCAGCACCTTTCAGCAGCACCTTGCTACAGCACCCTGCGCAACTCTCAGTCACACTCTCCGCCAGAGCCCGGCAGCAGCGCCCTGCAACACAATCTGCAACAGCATCCTGTCAAACTCGCGCCATCAAAACCCGGAAGCCTGTACCTGCACCCCCGCAGCAGCAACACAACAGCACCCAGCAACGCAACAGCCAGCAGCCTGCAACGGAAGCCAGCAGCCTGCAACAGCAGCCAGCAACACACCCCACTGTACTTCCAGGTCACCGGCTGGCAGCACCCGCGAAAAGCACAACCAGCCAGGCTGAAATGTCGTGTTGCATCCCCTTCTCTGCTCGAAGTCAGAATTCCTATTGAATTTAGCTGTCTGGAGAAGAAAGACCGTGCCTCGCGCAAGGTGCCACGTTGGAAATCCCACACCTTGTCAGGGCCCCTCAACCGCTTGGGGGTCCACACGCTGCGCTGTGACTCACCCCGCCTCCGAAAAACCCTCCGTGAGAGAGTCGCGCACGGAATGCAGCGACAGCGATCTTAGCCTACAGAGAAACAATTGAGGAGTATTACCTGGGCCGGTCCTTTTGCGGGGCTACATGTTGCGCAAGCGCCTGCCCAAAGCACCTTCAATGGCTTGGCCTGGGCTACATGTCTTTGCTGCCGTTTGACGCTTGGATCGCAAAACCAATCGTCGCATCCCTGCGCGGAGACTGCCGACGAATCGCTGAGGCTGCGGCACAGATTCTTGAGGTCAGCTGCGTCGTGGACTCTGCAAACATCCAAGGTAACCTGGCGAGCTCCATAGACACCGTCCACTGCCAAGTTGCCAAGTTGCAGCACCTCACCCTCTGGAAGGACAAGCTGAAGCTGTAGGGGCGCCTTCTCCAAGGGACGCGGCACGATCAACATGACGCTTCAGAAAACCCGAATCCAAGGCACCCCTGCAGCCAGCCCGGCAGTGGCCCGCGTGCCAATCTGAGTCAAAGTCAAGTGGCGGCTGTCTGAAGTTCCTTGTTCCCGGAGACAAAAACAACTGTCGCGACCTGTGTCACGAGGCTACTTTCGCAACATGCATCACACAAGCAGTACACGCAGTACACTTCCGCAGCCCCGGCTCGAAAGTTGCCACCTTTCAGTCCGCAAGTAGCAGTCGAAGTAAACTTCCGCAGCCCCCTGTGGAAAGTCGCAACTTTCCCTTCCAAAGTACTAGTAGCGCGCGAACTGCGCTTACGATTCCGCAGCTCCAGCGCGCGCGCGCGGCACAGGAGGGCATTGGCCACCCATGTCCGGAAAGTGGAAGGGAGGCCCATCGACTTTCGCGGGACTTTCGACGCCAAACATTTCCAAATATCCGGCTAGAAAGTTGCGCTCTGGACCCGAAGGCTGCAACCCTCCCACAAATTGCTTTCTGGTGAGATTTGCTTTTGCCGCAACGTATTCTTTCGGCAATCCTCCAGGCGCACTTTCCTCCGACCAACGTTAGTCTGTGTGCACTGCCGACAAATACACATGGTTCGTCATTCCGGCTTCCTTTAGCAAACCACCCTGACACAAGCTTTCGCGAGAAAAGCACATTTTCACGACCTCCATCGCGAACCTTTCGCGGAGGGCAACTGAAACAAAAAGGTCTTCCCCTTCATACAGGTAATACCTGAATCAAGGACCTTTCGGACGACTCCCAAGTGCAAATGGACTCGGAAGGTGCCGACGCTTGGGTCTCTGCCGGATCAAAGCGTATCCGCACGGCCTTTGCGGACTGAGTCCACAAAGCAGTTATTCCACAGCACAGCCAAATCAGCAACACCCGCCTCCGACGAAGCTCGAATCCGCAGAGGTGCGTAGTCTGCACCTGCAACAACAAATGCACACTGAGGCCATGATGCCATGTCCAAGCCTAGCCCTCCTGCCAGCAGCAGTGATCTCACAGGAATTGGGAGCCTGAGGCCCAGATGCATCCAACTGCAGCCACTGCTTTCTCAAAGTCTCTAGCCCCTCAGAAAGGGTCTTGGACGACACGGCCGCAATGGCATCTCGCAACGCTTCTGCCAGGGCTTTCCCCAACTCGTGCAGCCCAGATCGAGCCTCCAGATGTGCGGCAAGTTACACGTCGTTTAAAAAAAAGAGGCAAATGCGCCTCTGACAGCGGAGAACTGGCTTCTCGAGCTTCCAAGAAGTGCTGCCTCGAGGCAATGTCACGCCAACTGGACTTTGAAGGGGAGGGAAATGAAAGCTAGCATTCAGGCAAGGTCGACGCACAGTTTCGGCTGACTCTAGGGGTTGACAGGAGTGGAACCTCACAAGAAGAAATCGAACACCCTGCGTCCTAGGTGGTTCCTTGCTCCGGGCGAAACGCAGGAACATTGCTCAAAACATGCGGAGTCAACGCAGAGCGAATAAGTTTTAAGATGCTTTAAGAGCCGGGATCGCCGGGGATCGCCGGGGATCGCCGGGGATCGCCGGGGATCGCCGGGATAGCGGAGCGAGCGGAAAGCTGGGTGGAGCGAAGGGCGGAAAGAAGAGGGAGGGGAGCGAAGACTGGCGGTCGCGAGGAGAGAAGAGCGGAGCCAATGAGAAGAGCAAAAAGAAGAGCGGGGCGAAGAGCGGGGAGTCACTGGCCCCAGTACTTGCTAAAACAAGAGGGACCAGCTAGCCAGCTAGCTTTCGTGATGTGTGAAACTTGATGTAGAAGACCGTAAGGCATTGTGTGTGAAGTCGCTGTCCAAAAGTGCACTGAGATGAAGACTTGGACATGCGCCCTCGACGTGTGCAAAAGGACTGGGTGCTCAGGGCCTGCCGGCGTATCGAGGAAATGCATCAGCACGTGTGGCGTCGACATGTCTCTTGCCTCCACGCTCTGCTGGGCAAGCTGAGCGCGAGTTTTGGCCTCTGGCGGCACAAACTCTTGTAACCTAAATGCGTCAGGTGAACTATGCCTCTTCCGACTCATCATCCAGCCAGGGCTTCTTTGTCTCCCACTGCTCTGGCCTACAACTGGCTGGCCACGCTAAAGGTGAAGAGTGAATTTGCGAAACATGTCCTGTGCCTCTTTGTGCCATCCATGCAACTGCATTGTTCACTGCAGCAGCCAGGAGGAACCGCTGGTGGATGTCCGGGCGGATATGCAGATGCATCCCTGGGCCAAGCCATAATAAGATCATCAGGCTGCTTCCCGATAACAATCCCGTGGCGCCGTCGCGCATCCAGCATATCCTCCCAATTCTGCCAGCTTCTCGATGCCAGCGTTGGCTTCTCCAGGCGCTCCGCTGGTTTTTGAGGCTCTTCGGGCTCCATCTCATCTTGGCTTTCAGCCTCATCATCATAGGCAGACAAGAGTGACCCGACAGTTTGGGACCTGTTCAAGGAGCCCGAAACTTGAGAACTCTCCGCAGTGGATGCCCGGCTCACCGTGGGCGCAGCCTGGACAACGCCAGCTCGGCCTGGAGGAGCTTTGACAGCGGGGGTTGACCGAGCAATCGCATGCTCGGTTTGTGAGATCTCTAAGGCAAAGCGGCCTGCCTGACTGGATGCCAGACCACTTGGACCAGTGAGACCCACTGAAGCCGCTGGAGCATTTAGACCGAGTTGCGGGAGTGTCATGGCAGGTGGGATGATCATGGACTGCATGGCTCCAAAGTGGCCAACGTTCGGCATAAAGCCAAAGACCATTCCAAAGTTGCCGGCACTCGCCGAGCCATGAGCCACTTGACCATCAGCCTGGGCAGCCTGGGCAGCCTGGGCAGCCTGGGCAGCCTGGGCCTGGCCTGCCAAATTCAGGGGAAGGGCGCTCCACGGAACTCCGGGCGCTTGGACACCGATGCCCACCGGGGGCACTGCCATGGCGGTTCATAGCGCTTGGCCTTGCCGCCTTGCCTGACTGAGTGACTGGAGTTGAAGCTGTGGCTTTGCACTAAGATGTCGGCCATCTTGCACGCTCGGGGGGTGGGATTGGGCTTGCCTGCCAATCTTAGGCGCAGCTCAGCCTATTTTTCACACGCAGCGCAATTCTGTGTGATGATGCTCATCTGCTTGGCACTGTTGCTGAGAGCCATCTGCAGACGCGCCATATCAAGCATGAAGACTTGCCATCAACCAAAGTGATACACTCTATACCTTTTCCGTTTTTGCTCTGTATATATAGCGAAAAGCAATCGGATCATTGGCATGCCCCAATTCAGACATGCGCCATGTCACGCGAACATGCACTTGGGGCGCCAAGCCCAAGGCGATCGGAACATCTCGATATTCCCACGCCACATGCCATCTCATGCCCTTTGGCATCCCAAAGCAATAGGCTATTGAGCGGGTTCTAAAGGAAAAGACCCTTACACTTCATCAATCGCACTGTCACACTATGCAATCGAGAAGACATACAACAAGTCAATTTGGAACCCGCGCTGACCTTGCGGCCTTTGGCAACAGCCATGGGCACACATGCACAGCAGCAAGTCTCAGCAACCATTCACTGTCTCAATGAACACCAACAAAGTGGTACTGGTACGTGTCGTACCTGGCCAGGCGAAGACACGCATCTTCTGGCTGCGAACCAAAAATTGAGAGCACAATCTGGAGCGCCAGTGATCGATTGAGTCATCTATCATCCTCGGGGCTGGTACGGTAGCAACCCGTTGAACAGCAACCGTGCAAAGTCAACTTCATGGCTGGACCACAACTGCTCCTTGGATAATAATGATTGCCTGCATCAAGACTTGAGGCCGCCACCTGTTCACAGATTGTCTAAACTCCTCCCGAACAGAGCTTTGGACCAAGAAAAGGTCAGGATGTCTCTCGCTTACAGGAGGAGCGGGAGAACGCTAAGATGAAACGCGTGTAAACGTTGAAAGCCAAAACTGGCGCTTCAACAACAGCCACAGCATCAGGCGTGGGCAACAAATGGCAGGTGTCCTTGGAACACGGACTGGCATTCAGCAATAAATCACGAGTCTTTCAGTCAAATTATTCAACCTGCGATGTGTATCCTCGTCGGAGATCTTCCGGTCACCGCCATTTCTCACTCCGCCTGGCCTCGCAATGGCACATCACACACTTTCACTGTAGTGTCAACTGTTCAAATAGTCGTGCCAGATTGGTAAGATGGTGGAAGCTATGATGATTGTCATAACTGCGCGGAACCCTTCCAGAAGCCACTGATGTCTGTCCATAAATGCATGTCTGCAAGCGTTCAAGATCAAGGTGGACCAGCAGCACTGAAAATGCACACAGCGTGCACAGCTTGGGATTAACACCCCTCAAGGCCGGAGCAACCCTAGGCGGTCGCAAATGTCCTCCAGCACCGCCTGACGGCCATGCTCTCTGCATTAGTCACTTTGAAGTTTGCACTGGCCTCGGGATAGCCGCGCGGGTGGCAGAAGCAGTTCATTTGGCTGTTTTCGGAGCCCAGCCTGAGTTGTACAATGGCTTAGGTAGACATGTGTATGTCCATCTCCGCAGAAAGACTGAGCCAGCAGCATGCTGACCTGAACTAAGGCTAAAAGCTCCTGGCCACAAGGCGTTGCAAACCAACCTATTGGAATGTTTGCTCAACACACAAGCTTGTGGCACCACTCCACCTGTCCTGAGCATGCGAGCGCACTGCTCGCATTCCGTCAAGAATGGCTGAGCGGAAGACCTCGAGTTGTGAGTTTTCAATTACTCGGCTTGTTCACAATGCGGCCTGGAACTCATTTCCATCAATCGGCCCGAGCACCTCCACAAGCCTACGGCATGATGTCAGGCATTTCCATCAACAAACTCTTACAAGAAGTTGTGTCGCTCCCAGCATGTCTTGGTAGTCGTGCTTTGAAGTCGAAACAGGATAGGCTGACTCATTGGTGAGCTTGAAGCCGGCAGAGTGCTCAAAGCCGCCAATATGTTGCATTGCCTCCGGGCATGGCAAGCAGGCTGCCCTCAGGCTTGAAGCCCCACCCAGGCGTGCAAGGCCAACAAGTCAAATTCACAGCATTTTGCACTGCAACTATTATGTTCAATCCAGGCAGTAAATCAACACACGTGTTCAGCCTGGATTCAACTGACAACTTGAGATCAAATTCATTCGAGTCAAATGGAAGGCCTTGCCGCCCGGAGCGCCACACAGCATGAAGCCAAAGTCCACATGCAGCACCTGCAGCACAATGAGCCCAATTTACTCAGCTACGCGAATTCCCTTTGTTGTATGTGATTGCTTTGGTCCAGTCATCAGTAATTATGATCCTCTTCATATCCATAGAATCACAATCCTAAACATGAAACAACCCACCACGACGATTAGTGGCACAAGTCAAGGGTGGAAACTGAGACAAGCACATGGCCCTCGTCATTCAGCATGATGTTGCCTCAAAGTATCCGAAGTGTGATACAGTATGTCCTCAGTCCTTCACCCAAAAAGCCTAAGCTGTCAGCCGTTGTGCCGATCTCGGATTGCCAGCACGTAGCACACCACTGAGTACCTAAACATGTGCATTTTGAGTATCTGGTGTGGCCAACAAAGCATCTAGCAATTCCAACACGCGAACACACACACACACACAAAACAAGAGCATGTGTCTGTCCTTGCACGGCCTCCCTCCAAATCGTTGTGATCTCGCTGTCATCAACGTCCCTTAACTAGCGGTTGCATAAACACCTCGTTGTTTTTAGAGATCCTTTCTTGGGTTGTCATGCTTAAAACTCCTTATCGCTTCGCTGCGTTTTGCGCTTTCTGTGCTTTCAACCTCGAAATCGCGACCTTTCAGTACAAGTGTAGAACACCACTTTGGCAGCAGATCCAGCTCGAAATCCGCAACTTTTCTAGCTCGAGAATCGCAACTTTTCAGTACCAGTGTGGCACACAAAGTACGCTTTGGCAGCTCCAGATCAAAAATTGCAACTGTTCAGTACAAGTCAGTGTTGAAATTACACGAAGTGCACTTCCGCAGCTTGAAGATTGCAACTTTTCAGGACAAGAACTTTGGCTCGGAAACTGCAACTTTTCCGTACCAGTGCAGTTTACGATGTATGTTTTGGCAGCTCCATCTCAAACCTCGCAGCTGTTCAGCCGTTGCACTCGCAAAACGTGTGGATGTGAGGAAAGGCGAGCAAAAGTCAATTTATGTGCAAACCGTAATCGTTTGTTTATCGGGTTGCTATCGTTTTCGTTCAGCTACAAAGTCTGATGTTTGCTACCCAACAAGCTGTGCTGGTCCCAGCTGACAAGGCCAATTCCCATGATCGCCATCGCTTTTTGACCCCTTAACTTAAATCAACTTGTTTATACAACCTCACTTGAGCTGATGAAACTTGCATGGGCACGCGGCCATGGAGTAAATGAAATTCATGGTTGCTGTCCTGAAGGAGACTGACCTCAGAAGGGGAAATATGCTTGTTCCTTCGCACCAAAATCAAGCAACCTCGCAGTGAGTGTTTAAGGATAGTGCTTCTCTCCAGCGAAGCCATGGGGCCGATCATCCCCCTCGGAGAACTTCGTAGGTGTTCACGTTTACACTGCCAGATTTGGTGTGGTTTGCTTGGCAACAATGGCACCCAAGCTCTCAAACTCACGCAAGTAGAGACCCAGCCGTGAAGGACTCTTCAAAGTACCTCAAGAAACAGCCGGCAATGTAGCTTGCGCCAAACGCCGCAAGCGCAAGACCCCGCCTTTTAAGGGACTCCCATTTCGAGCCATAGGACTTCTTCAAGTCACTGATGCTAATTGCATTGGTTACAACCTTGGTCAAGCACAGTGTCACTGACACTGTGGCCAGAGAAACGCCCACACGTGGCTGACCTTGGAGGGGCCCTGCCTCCAGCACACCGCCATCGTGTGTGGTTGCGATGATGAGGAATGGCTGAAGCCACAACTTGGGGTTGTGCCTTGCAGGAAAGCACTGTTAAAAGCTTCACGGCCATGACTCACAGGCACGCGTGAATTATGACAGCATATAATATCATACCTCTAGGCAAACATATGCAACATCTAATATGTTGCCAGGACGTGCAGCATTGCCACAAGTCTCTACCCGCGTGGTGTGAAACTTCGCATCCTAGAGCAGAAGCCCTACACCTGTCTTTGGATTCTGTTGAATGAACGGCTACGGGGAAAACATCGCCTTTTGAAGACCCTCTCGAACCACTTCAGCAGGCGGTAGGCGAGTTCCTCTTGCCTGACGTCCTCGAGCTCCGAGCACCGCGGCGAATCGTAGCACAATTGGTTTGCTGCAAACCTCTGAAAGCTGAAACAACATCAACCGAACCGAGTATCAGGCATCAGCGTTGCTCTTCACAATCATTGGGATCATGCTCCAGTTCCTAGGGTGAGCATCTCTCAGCTGCACCTGTTCTTTACAGTTCCATTTGCCAAGTTGCGGCCGTCTCCCAAACTCACTCCGTGCCCGGACACGGCAAACTACCTGCCACAAGGACTTCTCATGCGGCCCAAGCGCGAGGCCATCATCTACGACGGCTCGTCGACGGCCTCGGTCCACGTCTCGTCGTGGAAGGCGCCCTTTGGCCGCGGATCCCTGCAAGAGAGAAACGCACACTTTTTCATCAACTCAGCTCACTCCCAAGCACAGTGTCGCGCTTCATGTTCCGAGCAGAAGCAGGTGGCGAGTCTTCTGGTGGCCAGAACTTCGGAGGAACTGGCCGAGCAGTTGGAACATGCCAACTGAATGACCACAGAAATGGCATCAAACATGGAGCCTGCAGCAAAGTGGTGTGTGGCCTGCACCGGCCTCGAGTCATTGGAGCCAGAAGAATGTCCGTGGCTGGCTGCTCTTGGGAAAAGCACGTCGATGTCTGAACAACCGGCTGACAAGAATCCCATGTCTTGCCAAACACATTAAAGACAACAAACAAACCAACCAACCAACCAACCAACAAACAAACAAACAGTTCAAGAATCCAGAACGCTCGTGCATGGAATCTCGAGCACCCTGCGACTTTCGGCTCGCACATAGTCGTCCGAGAATCCTGAAGCTTGCAAGTCGCTCTGAGGCATCAGCTCTAGTTTGCACAGGCTTGTTAACACTAAAGCAGCTTGTTTGCACATGGAATCGCCATCAAGTCATGGGACAAGTCCTTCGAGTGCTCAGCTTGAAGTGTGGAAACAATGGAATCAGCCGAACTGGGTGCCCCGCCCCCGTCCGGTAGGTCTGTCCGTCTGCATGGGCTTCTCCTCTACCTTTCAGCTGCAGGTGCTGTTCCAGTCGCACTAGTCTGTTTGGATCGCTTGGGGCTCTTGGCCTCTCTACCGAAACGTCAAGTTTACCTCCGGACTCATGTCGACAGTCCTGCCTCCATCATGACCATGTATGGAGCTCTGGCTTTGGAGGACAATACACGGGCCTGGCGCTCCGTACCACAACAAATAAAACTTGTTTGAGGGATTATGATGGTCCTCAGTACTTCAGACTTGTGAACACGGAACAATACCATGATCCAAGCGGCTTGCCTCATTGCGGTTGACGCTAAGGATGGATGCCACGGCACCATTGCGGCTCCTGCACAACGCTTGGCTTGCGGCTGCTTGGCTGGGAAACAGTTGAGGGTGCAGCCGCAGCGCATGAGGTGCGAGCAACTGAGCCGGCACCTGAGCTTCAAGCAATTTCCAGATCTGCTGCATGTCACATGACCTTGGCGCTGGGCAGGTGTGTCGTCTGTTAGAAAGCGATTGATCTCCTGCCCAGCCCATGACCACAGTCAGGTCATGACAGCGTGTGAATGGCCGTCCTGGTCAACAAGTGCCTGCAGAACGCTCAGCCTTACTACCACAAAGCATGACGGCATCCAGCACAAATCAACATCAAAGCCCAAGCTGTGCACCGCTCTTGCCGATCTCTAACTTTAAGAATCTCGGTGCCGATATAGTGCAGCCTTAGCTATGGTTTCTAACACTCGCACCAAGCACCAATGGGCAACTGCAATTCGGCTGTTACATATCTGCTCGATTCAGCTTATTTCCCTTCAGCATTAGCTTCACGCTGTAGGCGTCAGCACTATGTACAAATCTGCTCACAAGTCAGTGTTTCTTCTTGGCCTCACATTGTGTCTGCAACTGACGGCCAATCGTGACGAGACCCTCTGAAACTAATTTCACGTCAAGTACTCCTGCAAAACACTTAGATCAGCTCCGGCTTCATCATTTCAGTCAGGAAGTGCCGCATCCAAGAATCCTCGTTCTCGCCGTGGTCAACGCCCTCATCCAGGGCCTTGTGATGATGCAACATGCATTGCCAGATATGCATATGAGTCGCGGCTACCGGGCTAATGGAAACACTTTGCTTAGGATCCCCACTATTTCGTTCATTCCTTTTAGTAACCATGCCATTGCTACGTGATTGCCTGATCTCGTATTTCCAGCCTTGGCCTTTTCCGCCTCACTTAAGCTTCAAGAACTGATTTCCGATCAAAACTCAAGTGCCCAAAGGCGGTCACTGAGCAAAGGGCATTGCTTGTTGTTTTTCATCGGCTTACCAGATTACACAGTTGCATGCAAAAGCAACTTTCGGCACAGGTGCTGCGCGCTTAGATAATGTTCGCAGCTCCAGCTTGAATTGCAACTTTCAAACACAAGTGTCGGCACGCAAAGTACTCTGTGGCAACTACAGCTTGAAAATTGCAACTTCTCAGTGCAAGTGTCGCACACGAAGCACACTTTGGGACTTCAAGGCGCCAGGCGCCTGCGGTGGGCTAGTGTGGGTTTGAGTGCCTGTGAGCGGCCAGGCCAGATCAGGTCAAATACGCGCAGTCTCAAGTTCAAGCGTTTGCGAGACTAAAGGCTGCGTGTAAGAATGGAAACATTTTGCTGGCACGGAAGAGATGTCTTGGATGCTGAAAGCAGCAGGCTTGTTTAGCGAAAGGCCAGATGCAAGAACAGGAGAACCTCGTTGCATGCCAGGGATGATACAAAATGTCCAGCGTACACTTTCAAGTTGGACGGCTGCTGAAGCTAAAACAGCTTGTTCAGCCGTAGGCAGGATACAAGAATGAAATGTTTGCGCTGGCAACCCGCAGTCGTTGCCGGCGTGCAATATTGCATACTGCGCGTAGTTGAGAGCGCAACGGTAAAATGCATGACAAAAAACGGCGGCGTTAATTTGAGCAGCAAATGTCCGCTGACGTACGCATGTACAAAGAGGGAGCTGCGCCTCCGCGACGCAACGCGCACGAGGTGCAACTGATCAGTTTGATGCGGCTTCAGGTTCTGTACGTCTACCTAAGTTCGCGCAGCCTTCGAATAATATTTCCATAGTTCCCCCTAGTTTTGTAGATGTTCAGGGGTCTGGTCGCGTCATGCCAACTTCACTCCCAACAGAGCATCAGAGGGATAGCAATCAAACAGCAAAGCTCGTTGTCCGTTCCGCCTTTGTGCCGCGCTCTGCCCAGAGGCTACCTAGCTGGCGCCGCGGGCAGATACGAAAAGAACAACCTCCAAAGCGTCGCGCCTCGCCAACTACTCCACTACAAAGGGCGCTGTCACCCATAGAAAACGTCTTGCGCTGCATATCGCGCAGCGCGTCACATCGAGCCGCCGCTATTTCGGCAAACCAGCGCCCAGCTAGCAGGCTAGCCAAGGCTGTCAGCGAGACGGCGTTGTCTTGATGCCATTTGAGATGCACGTGACCTTCACACGTGCATAAATATTGCACTGCTGGACAGCCAAACAACAGAACCGCTGCGCTTCGCGCAAAGAAGGCGTCCCCGCCTATCCACCCAGCAGCCTAGCACGGCAAACCCAGCTTCCAGGTGGAGCTCCCCGTCGCAAAGCTTCGCGCAATCCTTCTTCACCCTGCTTGGTGACAAGCGCGCTTCTCTCCAACCCTGAAACTCCGTGTGAGCAACAAGGTAAAAGACACATCACATTGAGCGACGATCCCAGCATCATGACCCCAGCCATACAAAGACAGCCACTTCATGATGTCCATTGCAAACACGCGTGCCATTGTTCAAAGACCGACCTAGCTCACAACACGGCTCCTAAGCGAAGGCTTGGGGTCAGCGCTAGCAAAAAGTACGAGAAGAACCACATGGCTGCATTAAAACATTCTCCACTACAGCGGGGTCTCTGAAAAAGAAGCAGTTCAATAGGCAACTCTCAGTCCATGGGCGTGCTGCTGTTTCTTTGGGGCGTGCAGCATTTCCTGAAGAGAATAATTTCTGGAACCAGAATAGTTCTGGGCATTGTACCGGTTGCTGTCCATAGTCATCATGACTTCTCTGTTGGCTGGTAAGTCTTGATGCATTGTTAGTCTCAAATGCACTGCCGGCGATTATTCGGCTCCAGAGCACGATTCGAATGTCAGCTCCAGCGTCTTCGAGCCGGCGATAAGTGGCCTGCACCAAGCGCTGAACGCATGGAGGGAAAAGACACTGGTTGCTTTGAGCCTTCACCCACTCCTCCCAAAGCATCATCGTATCAGCCAGACCGTTGTACCTGGCAACATGCATTGCATGTGGAAGTCAGAATCTCAGTTGTAAGTAACTGTACAATGTGAGACGGCTGGCCATATTGTCTCCCTTGCGAGTACATTGTACTCGCCCCGATTCAAGCTGGCAACGTGTCCAAATCAAACAGCATTTCAAGACAGACGTTGCTTGATGGCCGTCTCGGTCAGTAAAGGCAAGCTGCACAAAGATCGGAATCTTCTTGGCAACCCAATCTTTGTTGACCGGAGTGCATGATAGCAAATGACCCATCGTGCCTCAGTTGGGAATCACAGCTGGCAACACATACATTGCTCAGCACAGCGTAAGCCCCTTGATGTGCATATGGCGAGCTACCAATGACGCCACCCAATTGGCCAGGATATGTCAAGGCGATGTGCAAGGCTGTGCCGCATCCTTGGGAGGCTCCTCCGAGAAATACATTCTCTGCACCAACCTTTGCTGACGACATGCCGCCAAGTTAGCTCAACGTGGTCATGTCAAGGACGCGTCCTGATCATACCTTACATACCTTTGCAACTCATCAGGTCTCACAAAATTGAGATCGAAAGCAAGCATTCAGGCAACGCGGGCTGCCAAGAGAATGGCAATACTGCGAGGTGGCAAGAAGTGCAACAAGCAGGCTTCAACGCAGCCGAAAACCATCAAACCAGCAGCAGCTGTCGAGCAGCAAGCTATCAACTTCGGCTGTGAGGGCAGTGGAGGACAGGCAAATATTCGAGTGCACACGCATAACAACGTGTGACGACAAACGGAAAACAACACAGGAGGCATGACGGCATGAAAGGCGTCGAGAAACGATGCACGGCACCATGAGAGCAATGCCACAAAACGGTTACATAAACCCTTTATTTACTAAATGCGTTTTTGAATGATCGCTTTCGCGGTGGGTTTGCTTGACCAGGCCATCTACATAGAAGCGGTTGTGAGGCTCTTTCCTTTTTCCTCCGGAGGTACTTGCAAAGGAGCGAAGCAAACAGGATGCGGGAATCCTTTCGGTGGACAATTGAAGCTTTCGCGCAGCTTGTGGACTTCAGCGGAATTTGCTGCATTTCGGACTTCGGCTGAGCTCAAAAGAGACTTGAACGGACAGCGTCAGCCCTCGCCAGCCCAGCCCGAAATGGGAGACAAAATCTGCTAATTTACACAAACACTGCAAACATGCACTTTCACAACGCTTTCGCATCGGGCTCTTCTTCAACCACTTTCGCCGCAAGCTTCCCGGGCTTTCGCGCCCTGCGTTGTGGCTTTCGCGAGGCCTCCTTAGGAGGGCCCATTTCGCGATGGCGCTGCTCATGTGAGGACTCTGACGCCGCGTGACGACGCATGATGGCACGCCTGGCCCCATGACGACACATTCTGCTCTGCGTGACGCCGTGTGACAATGCCGATTGATTGAGTCAGATGGCAAATCTCAGAACTCAGCATGTTTTGCTTGCATTTGAGCATAGCTTGCGCTTGAGGTTTTAGTGCATCAAGGGCTGATCAACTCGGCACTTGCCACAGCACTGCGGTCCCATCGGTTAAACATGACCCACATACCTACTTGACTGTTCTTTAAGCAAGGAAAGGAGTTTAGGCAGGAGCTAAGTGAACAGTAAGCCAGAAGCTAGAAGCTGCATCCATGTGTCCACCCGAGAAGCACTTGTTGCATCAGAGGTACGGCAGCTGCTTCGGCGTCCAGCAAGGCATGTACCCGTGCAGTAGTTTGCTCCAAATCTTCCATAGACAGCTCGTCCTCCCTTTCGCCCTATGCTGGAAAGCAAAGCATAGCTTGCGCTGGCACACGAGCATCGCAACACGCAAGTTACGGCCTCGTAGTCCGTCATGTAGTCATACCAAGCATGCAGGATCTCCCCCTGAAGTCACTGATTCCATCACAACAAGAACAACTGCTTGGCCACAGCCTTGTAGCAAGAGATTTCTCGCTTTGGAGCCGATGGAAATACCACCTCGGAAAGGCTACAAGGATCATAGGGTCCCAAAAGGAAGCAAAGCCTTCAAGCCAGGAAAGGGCTCGAACTCGTCTGCGTCATCTTCCTATCAAAAGTACTCTTGCAGCTCTTGTTTTGGTGGCTGGCACAGACAGCGGCGTCAAGCGCTCTCCTCTTCATCCTTCTTTGCCTCACAGGCCCAATGTTTCAGGGCGCCCAGTGCTTCCAACCCCAAGCAAGTCTTTTGCCTCTTGGGTGTTGGACCCAAAACAGGTTGGGGTCGCGAAAACACAAGAACAGGGTGGTCGGCTCGCTGGCAACTTTTCAGGGCAACTTCTGAAGCCTGCCTTTTTTTTCTTCTTGACTGGCTTCAGCCGGTAGACATAGTGGGGCTCCTTCAGATAGTCGTAGCCATTGCACGTAAATCCTGCGCGATACTGTCAGCAGTGCAAGCCAGCAACTGCACTCACCCAATTCTGTAGCCAAGCATCCGTGCAAGTACACCAAGCTCTTGGTATGGCCTCAGGTCTACTTGGGCGCGCTAATCACATCGCAAGCTGCAAAGTGACACCACGCTTAATGTCAGCATAAACTGCGGCAGTATGTCTCGATCATCTCAGTTGCCAGCTGCCGTGAGGATACATGACTTGGTCCTCTGCGCCCAAATTCAGCCAGCCCCTGCGCATGTCAATGAGAATTGGCGATTGTGCTTGATGAGCTTCTATGAGGAAGAAAGCTGACTGCCCCTGCCTTTCGAGGCAAATCTTTAAGGATTGCTGGGCAGCACTTTCTCCATTCTGCACATTCCATGATTCGAAGAACCATCCTCTCTTCGCAACCTCGGCAAGGTTTTAACCAATGCCACACATACTTCTGTGCCCAAGAGCGATTGGACGGTGCGGCTAACAAGCTAGGAAAGCCGCAAATAAGATGCAACTCCAAACGCATGTTAAACGTGATAAGGCTGCATGGCCAAAGCCGAGTGGCATCCATGGCCGCTAGCAAGCGCTGACCGAACTCTCGTATCAGCCTTGAATGATCTTGAATGCAGGCTGAACGAACTCAACATGTGATAGAATGAAGTGAGAATCTTCCTGGAAGGCCCTGCAATGGAGTGGCTCAGATTCGTTTGCTCCGGCCGCAAGCTTGGGCAAGGCGCCTTGACAAACGGACAAACGGTTGCACTGGATACTGCAAGTTGATGCGATTAGGCGGATGCATTTCTGGTCTAAGTCGAGCAGCCCGGCAGAGCCAAGCTCCAGGTGCTAATCAAATCGAGGTGTTCATGCTCCTGAAAGGCGGGTGAATCGCAACTGAGATGCTCGGGCATCTCATCTACATACCAAGTGTGCGGGTCGATCCTCTGACAACTTGGAGGCAGCATCCAGGACTGTCTGTGGCGTCACCTTGTCCTTAATGCTAGGCAGTTGGTTGCCGGTGCAATGGAGAAGCAAAGAAATTCCTGCAAAGCTTCAGGTAGCTGCACATGTGCTGCAGTCTCCAGGAGCACATTTCCATCTGCAAGCCACAAGGGCAGCTGGTCGGCATCACACTCAGCGAGGGTACCTCGGCTCAAGAACGTGTTCGCACCCGAGTTAGGGGGGGAGGTTGCTCCCAAACAGCCTGGCCCATGTCCGATCAAGGCTGGCTGCTCTGATAGAGTTTCTCCTGGCACTCTTCCACCCTTCCCTCCGGCAGCTGCAGGAAGCAAGAGCATCTGTCCTTTCAGACACAAGCCGGTGACTTGCAGGATAGGGATTCACATCGGGTGACACGCACGGAATGACGCATACGACACTTTTGCTTATCCGCCTGTGTGAGCCCGCCCTGACGAAGAGCACTCAGTAGCCCTGCTGCCCTTGTCAAGTCTTGAACTCGAGGAAGTGCCACTCCCTTCACCTGAGTCCAAGGCTGTTTCGGATCAAAGCAAGCCATAGTAAGCTCTGGCATCACCTGATCTGTCAAGTTGCACACTTCATTTCTTGCACGGCGCGTGCAATACCACGCAACCAATCTTCGTAAGGTTTGCCTTCCAAAGGCAATTGCTTGTGGACAAATCATGTGGGCAACTGTTCGTGAATGGCATCATGTCTGCCTTGCGGATCCACTCAGCTAAGGTGCCTGGTACTGCAGGCAATTCCAGAACAATGGACAGTTCTTCTGCTTCAGCTTTCATCAAGAAAACGCTAGCCGTGCTGTCCAGCGCTTCGGTACAACCTGACCAGTCTGGAAGAAGCAGTCGTACTGCATTTAAGCCAGGCTCCTGCAGGCACTGCAGATCTTTTGAGACATGTTGCCCTCTCGTTGAATCGTTTCAGATCTGGGAGTCAAAATAGAGGCCCTTACTCGGACCCAAGCTTCAAGGTGGCCCAAGAAGGAGTCTCGAATTTGGACAACTTAGTGCATCCAAGGGTCCCCAAAAGCGCCGGGCACGCGGGAGATGGTCTCGAGAACAGAGGGTGAACCTTCTGTCTCAGATACAAGGCTGCATCTCACACCGCGGAAGGGCGTCTCGTCATGAAACATCTTGTGAAATGCATCCAGTATGTCTCGCATGTTTTCCACAGGATCGTCTGATGAGCCTGGATAGTCGTCCCCAAAGGGCGTTTCTTCGTCTTCATCTTCATCTTCGTCTTCCTGCTCATCATCTTCCCCCTCATCGTCTTCCTCGGCTTCCTCTTCCTCTTCCTCATTCAATTCATCCGCCTCTCCCACTGTATTGGCAGCGTGCCATCCGGTTGCCCACAGCAATTCCACGATGCGCTCGAACAAAGCATGCGCCAGAGTCCCATGCATGTCACCCAGGGTTCGCTTTGCTGCATCGAATCTCTTGTACGGCTCATGTGCCGGCTGCTGTAGTTCAGTGGCACTTTTGCCTGCCTTCTCCTTGTACACTCGCATCGCCGCGCAATGCTGTGCGGCAGCTTGGGCCAGGATTCGAACGTTGTCCACGACCATAGCCCCCCTCTGGCCACCTCTGGGGCCGCTGGCCCAAGGTAAGGCTAAAACATTCCAAGTTTCCCGTGCCTCTTCAGCAAGCTTCTTGTGCCCTTTGCGGCGCTCCTCATATTGGCCGGTACTACCATCTAACTCGCTCACCGCGGTCAATGAGGCATACCAGGATTCATGCCAGCCCAATCGCAGCAGGGAATGAGCTGCATCGAAAGGCATATGCGGAAGGCAGCTTTCTTCATCCTCCACATAGCCATCGTGCACCGGGGCCGACGTCATATGGTCAGCAGCCGATGTCAGCCAGTTTGCATGTGCATGCGGTATTCAGCCAACAGTCAGTTCATGTTCATGTCAGGTTTGCGGGTACATCTCACTGTGCAACAGCGAGGACAAACCATGCTACTAATTAATCACGCATTTTAGGTGTGTGCGCGATCTCTGTGGGCTGAAACACAGAGTCTGTATGTGCAAGCTATGCCTCATGTGCTCCCTAACGGCACAAAAAGGCGACGGTGCGAAACAGCGTGACGGGTAGCGCGGCACATGAAACTGCACATTTCTCCGACAGTACAGATGCGCCTTTCCCTGTTCTGAGCACCGAGCCTATCACAAACGTCAACCAGCGGGCTAACCTGGTCTCAAAACATGACACGCAGCAAACTGTCGCTCGGAAATGCGGCCTTGTTGGGGTCTGACCTCGGCACCTGTGCCATGCATGGCTGCTCGGTGCTCATGCTCACCCACTGGCCTCGGGGAGCCTGTCCCCTCGCCGGATGGCTGCATTGGCCTATCAATCCAGTCAAAATACTATCCGGTTCCAATCCAATTTGCCACTTGCAGCATCTCGCCTCTTCAATGTGGCGAAGTGCAAGTTTTAGCTGCGCCTTGCCAGAAAGCACACATGGCACTAGTCAAAAATTCCAAAAGCCAAAACAGCAATATTCCCTGCATGAAGAAACGCCTTGGAGCAAATAGTGCCCTGCACCGCATGCATCCTCCGCTTTGCATCAGTCTGCACGGCAATTTTTGCCTCCCAGGCAAATCACTCTTTTCTGGCAGCTGCTTTGGAAGCATGTGCAAGCTTGCAGCTTGAATCTGCATGCGAATGGTTCTTCGCCGTCTTGGTATATCCAACATATATACACATTAATATACACGGCCTGCGGTGAAGACTCCACCGCTTTCAATGCCCAGAAGAAAAGATGTCCGAATGCCACGTCATGTCTGACCTTCGCAGTGATTGCAATGCGTGCTGTGCACAAATGCAAGCTTGACAAGTACTTCCGGCAGCAAAGCCTGCTCCTCCACTGTCGTTGCGTTGTGCCAAGCAAGTTCATGCCCGTTGCATTCGACCCAAATAAAATTAGTATTGTACTTGTGCGCTACATCCAAAGTGGTGTCTGGGAGCCAAACTGCATCAAGTACAAAGCTTTCCCACAGCGCAGTTCTGCACTCCTTCCAAAGTGAAGAGTGTAGCAGCAGGCTAGGCAAACAGAACAACAGCAAAGAGTGCAGTCTGTCCATGCACGGCGCGTGAAGAATGCAGTTGATGATCGGAACCACAAAATCCAATAACTCAGTTGACAAGTCATAAGCAAGGTTCAAAGAGGTTCGTGGCGACTGAGACATTCAGAGCACGGCAGTGTCAGCTTGGCAAGCCTGGGCGCAGTGGTGGGTGCCTGTGGGTTGAAGTGAGTCCGGCCTTCATCGACTTCAGAGCAGACACTGCGCGCAATGCCGCTGCCTTACATGGGCTGTCAACCATTGGCTGAAAAAGGATTCCTGATGTTGGGATGAGGTGTGACTGTCCTGACACAAGACGTTGAAGCCTGGGTCAGGCCCACATCCAAGCTTTTCCAAGATAAACCATATTTTGGGACTGGAATCGTCGCCTTGCGCAAGGCAAAAGGTGGCAGGAACAAGCAAAGGCATGGAACACTAGCCTTGACCAAGCTCCCACAATACCATCTTGTGAATTCTCTACCGCCTGCACCGGCACCCAAAGCACTTTCCACACCATCACCGGGTTACAGCACTCGCTCCCAGCGCGTTCAAGCAACCTTTACAAGCACCGCCAGCATCGACAAATGGCCGAATCAGCGCCCACACCAGCAGGATGTTCAGAAACAGCTGCGCACTCGAAAAACTGCTGTACCAGAGGTAAAATAAAAACCCGTACAGCAGGGGACAAGTTGTCCGTGTTTGAAATATGATATGTGATGTATCCGAACAACTAACATTATCCAACAATCACTAGGCTTCCTGCTCGCCCACCGCCAGGCAAGCGCAAATTGCCGCTGTACTCCTGCCAAGCTCCGCATCATATTTCACCATTGCACATCACAACTCCACAGCATTTCGCATCACAACTCTGAGCTCTACAGCTCCTGCTGTTTAAGTGGATCCACCCAAAGCACCTCATTGAGTGCCTCCAGGACCTGCCACACCGATGGCCCAATGAGACTTGAAAACCATGGGGCACAAGCCTTGGCTTCATTATCCAATTGTCTTCCTTGAGGAAATCGCACCTTGCTTCAGACTTGACAAAAAAAAGGCAGTCTTGGACTCCTTCCTTGCCAAGAAGCACGAAAGTGGAAGGGCAAAGAGCTCCCATTGTCCTGCCAGGCCCTCTCTGTGCAAAGCCACTTTGAAGCAACGCACCTACACGTGAATTATACCTAAGCCTACATGCATACATACATACAGCATACATACATACATACGTACGTACATACATACATACATACAGACATTACATTGCATTGCATTGCGTTACATCACATTACATCGCATTGCATTGCATTACATTGCATTACATTGCATTACATTGCATTACATTGCATTACATTGCATTGCATTGCATTACATTACATACATGCATGCATGACATATGTTACATACATACAAACATAACATACACAGTACATGCATACATACATATATACGTACATTCGTACGTACATACAGACATACATACATACATACGTTCATACACTACGTACATACATACAATCATTACATCACATTACATTACACTACGTTGCATTGCATTGCAATACATTGCATTGCATTGCATTACATTACATTGCATACATACAAACAACATGCATGCATACACACATACAAACCTGCATGCTTACGTACATATATACATACATTACATACGTACCTCCATACCTACATACATACATACATGCATTGCATTGCATTACATTACGTTACATTACATAAAACTACATTACATTTTATTACATTACATTACATTACATTACATTACATGAATTGCATTTCATTACATTGCATTGCAACACAGTACACACATACATTGTATGCGTGCATGTATGCGAGCTTGCATACACATGCACATGCACATACACATACACATACACATGCACATAAAAAAAAAAAAAAAACACATTGACATACAAACATACATACACATACATACGCATACATACACATACATACGCATACATACACATACATACACATACATACACATACATACACATACATACACATACATACACATACATACACATACATACACATACATACACATACATACACATACATACACATACATACACATACATACACATACATACACATACATACACATACATACACATACATACACATACATACACATACATACACATACATACACATACATACACATACATACACATACATACACATACATACACATACATACATACGTACATACACTACACTACATTACACTACATTACATTACATTGCATTGCATTGCATTGCATTACACTACATACATGCATACAAACATACATTACATACATACATACATACATACATTACATACATACATACATACATACATACATACCATTACATTACATTACATTACATTACATTACATTACATTACATTACATTACATACATACATACATACATACATACATACATACATACATTACATACATACATACATACATACATACATACATACATACATAAACATACCATAACATTACGTTACATTAATACATACATACATACATACGTACGTACGTACATACATACATACATACATACATTACATACATACATACACACATACATACATGCATACATACATTACATTACATTGCACACATGCATACATACATGCATACATACATGCGCATGACATACATTACATACATACAAACATACAATACACAGTACATGCATACATACATACGTACGTACGTACATACATAGATACGTTCATACACTACGTACATACATACATTACACTACATTACATTGCATTGCACTACATTACATTGCATACGTACAAACATACATACATACATACAAATATGCAGTAGATACATACATACATTACATACATACCTACATACCTACACACACATACATACATACATACATACATACATATATGCATACATACATCCATACATCCATACGTCCATACATCCATACATCCATACATCCATACATCCATACATACAGTACATACATACATACATACATACATACATACATACATACATTGCATTACATTACACTACACTACATTACATTACATTACATTACATTTTACATATTACATTACATTACATTACATAGCATAGATACATACATACACTCACACACATACATACATTACAATTCATTACAATTCATTACATGACATTACATGACATTACATGACATTACATGATATTACATACTTACAATACATACATACTTACCTACCTACCTACATACATACATACCTACATACATCCATACTTACATCCATCCATACCTCCTTACATTCATCCATGCATACATACAGTACATACATACATACATACATAAATACATACATACATTACATTACAAAACAATACATACATTACATACATTACATTACATTACATTACATTACATTACATTAATTTGCATTACATACATACATACATACATACATACATTACATTACATACATACATACATACATTACATTACATTACATTACATTACATTACATTACATACATACATACATTACGTAGATACATACACACATACATACATACATACATACACACATACATACGCACACACATACACACATACATACATACATACATACATACATGCATTACATTCATACTTACATACATGCATACACACATACACACATACATACCTTACAACTCAATTCATTACATTACACTACATTACATTTACATTTGCATTACATTACATTACATTAAATTACTTGCATTACAGTAAATGACATA